CAACAGGTGTTCTCCTATTACTCGTTCGATAAGGATTCTTTACACATTCTTTATGTAAAGATTCGTATGTTTCAGTGGAAAACCTATTAATTGCACCGTATTCTCTGATCGATGGAATTATGTGATATATCTAATTGTGTAACTTTGGAAATTGTAAATTAGACTTGAAAAATAATAAAAAGAGCTTGATAAATCCTGTAGCCCATTTTGTTATTAATGACTATAAAATATGATCAAATTAGCTTTAGTTATATATAAATTTTTTAAAGTGAATGTAACATACCTTAAATATATGCAATTCTGATTCACTAAATTCATTTTTTCGTGAAAAAATATACATTTGATTCTAATCAACATATATGTTTACTAGTTGTTTATCCATGTTCTTAGCCTGATTCGTAGTATAAATGTCTTTATGAAACTTAGTAATTATTCCGTCGATTACAAAAACTAATTGTTGCATCATTGCCCGAAACTCTGCTGCAGTGAACCGTTTAATTTTGCCCAACCCTTCTTTGAACAATTTAAGACCTGAAAATCGAGGGACTTTTGCTAGTCTGTTATCGAATTCGTTAATTCTGGCTAGACCACACCATTCTTTTAATAGCTCTTGTGTAAATACTACTTGGTACTTGTATAAGCCTAAATCAAGATGATGCATCCGATCAGGCAGACATGATTGGTAAATATTAAAATTCCTAAGTATTAAAAAAAAAATTACGTATGTACCGGTACGTACAAGTTACAAATATTAGATTTAATCTATACATTAGATTAGAAAGTTACACACACTCTACATGTATATATATATATTAATATATATATAATATAGCAATACATATAGAAGACACCAGAAAGAATTTTCCATATCATATATGGAATATTCTTTGGTTTGACTTTGCTTGATTATCTGTTTCATAGTTGTCGGTGTGCATAAAATAATAGATTTGTAATCAATTAATGGGTTATTAAATTCTTCTTTAGGAGTTAAGCAAAAGTGACAAGGCATGTTGCAGTTTACTGAGTTGTATGTCGATGTCATAGCCGAATGTTCAGATAAATCACCCAAAATCTGCAACAAAAATGGATAACACTAAAATAGGCCACCATCCATATGTAATTCAACACTACATGAAGAATTTGATTTGATCGGTTCAGTTAGAATCTCCATTGAACAATGGAATAGTTGATATTTAAACAAGGGAATTTTTTGGTCTTCAGAACCTTCAGATATTGGTAAGTATGCTAATAGTGTTTTAGCATCAGGTTTGTTGCGACACCAAATAGGAATATTTCCTAATGTTAAATACACTGGATACTCAGATCTTTTTTCTAATATATCATATGTTGTAGCATTCAAGTAAAGGATGACCGATATAATTTTTGCACTTTCGTTAATCAATGCTTGAATCTGACCCTACTACCTTTCATTATACTGTTTTCCATAGCAATGTTCCAATTCGCCCTTGTTATTGGCAATTAATTTTGGTGTATAGTCAAAAATACAATGTTTGAATATATCAGAATTGTCTAATAGCTCTTTAATTGCATTAAAGAGTGGTCTGTGATGTAATACATATTCAGTGCCATTATACTTGATAACTGTCTTGGTATATAATATGTGTGGAA